GTGATAGTGATGGACTGATGGACTCTAATTTTGCCTTCAAATTAACTGCTAATTCTCTTGATTCACATACTTTTGCAGCACACAGATATGCAACACTGGATCGTTTTTCTCAAATAAATGACAAAGAATTTTTTTTGTCTCATTTGTTTGATTGGGTTCTCTTTGTCTACTTTCAGGACTTGTGTGAAAATCTAAATATGTTTTGGGTCATATTTATGTAGAAATATAGAAAATTATAAAGGGTTCACAAACTTTCAAGCAGCACTGTATATATAGATATAAACAGGCCTATATGGATTTAAGATTTACAGCTTAAGCTTTATTCTTTAAAAAAGCAAATAAGACCATGTTAGCTCTGACATTTACAGCCAAATAACCATGTTTGTGTTAGTGGGTCAGGTGTTTTCCTTTACTGTATGCATCAAATTTCCCCAAAAATGTAACACAACCTGAAATCACCTACAACCAATGTGGGTCAGGAAACAAGGAAAATGGCTTGATAAGCAGGCTAGCAGAGTTAAAATCATAATCTAAAAATGGTAAAAGGTTTATGTGAAGGTTATGCTACAGGTTAAATAGTAGAACATAACTTTGGTCAATTTAAAAATAATAAAAGTCAAATGGAAAATTGTAACTTGTATCTGAGTACATGTGCATCACCTCAAAGTTCTGATCCATGCAGCAGGTAAGAGGTACAAACGGTCCCACAATCTTAACTTCCGGTTCACCTTGTTTATTCTGTACTGTGAATTTAGGCAGGCAAACAGGCCAGTTTTGTCGAACATGACCGATGACAAAGCCTGGTGTACAAAGAACATAAAATATACAGTACAATACACTCAAGGTCTAAACGAGAGAAGGATAATGTTCATACCTCATGTCTTCTGCAGCTGCTGCTGCAAACAAACAAACGGGTGCACCAGTCTGATGACCTCTTTATTATATTCATTAATAACATTCATTATGAAGGAACGACCTGGATAGAGATGCCTGCTACAATAATCAATGTCCTCAAGAATACTAAAAAGAACGTTCCCGACGTCATCCTTCACCTTATAGCTGTTGTCAGCCTTTATTTCACAGCAAACTGTAAGAAATTAAAAGGAAGGAAATTAGAGTGTTGCTTTTTTGGTTTCACCATATATTTCATTCATGAAATGCTGATGAACGAACCTTCGTCAAAACATTTGTCCGGATGAGGTTCTTTGTAGACAAACAATTGATCAATCTAAAAT